TAACGTTTACGATGAAGTTATCAGATATGAATCACACACCAACATTCCTATTGTCATGCATTCACCGATGATCATTATATAAGATTCAAGCCTATATAAAGCATTAAAAACAGATAACTTCATTCATGATAAAAAGGAAAATTAACGTACGAATTGTTCAAAGCATAATAAATCGACGGGTAAATTACACAAGACCACCTTGTACTTAGATGTTGTTTCAAAAAGCCACCTTAAACTTTCAATTGAATCAATTAACTCCCTTAAACTATCATATTAAAACAATTTAACAAATTTAATAATATTTAGACAATAATACCCTTATTCCTAACCATAACCATTGCCACCACCGACTAATTGCACCACTGCCCCGGTCGCCACCCTGCCACCAACCATTGTAGGAGAAATGTAACAGGCCTTCTATTAGGGAGTCGATGAAACAAGATAAATGTAAGACTAGAAGTTATGTTTATACAAAAAAAATCAGAATGGTTAATAATTCATTCACCAATTAGAGTTTTGAGTTTGAATTGAACGAATGGAATCTTCAAACACTTTTGAGCAAGAAGGTGGAGAAAGAAACACCAGAAAGTCACTAATAAAAAATCATTCAAGGTAAGAACTGAGGTAATTGATTGATTGATCATTTTTCATTATTATCATTGTTATTTTTCGATGAATTTGGTAGCAACAATTTCAATAGAATGATTTTGTACCAAAGGGAAAAGTTGAAAGAGGAAGAATTTGTGAAGAAGATACAAGAGATGGTAACTGAAGAAGAGAAGTAGAGAATATCTGTTGCATAGGGTCTTCCTTGAACTGCAGATGAACCAAGGTAAGGTGAAGTCATTTGTTTGAATACTGGTGACTATGTTGTGGTCAAAAGAACAAATATTTCATTAATTCAAAGACATATTTGGTTTCATCTTTGCAATTGCTGCAATATGGGTTTTACTTGGCATTCTTTGATGCTATTATCTGAGTGCTTGGTAAAACCTCCATAATGAAAAAAAGCACTAGGCTCATTGACGGATTGCGAGCAATGAATTGTGTGATTTGTTTGACCATTAAGTATCTCTTTCATCTCTTCTTTTCTGATCAATTGCTTACTAAATTCATACTAGAAACTGCACTTGAAAATAAAGACACAAACTATGTCGGATGACAAGGTGGGGACCGTGAGGGCCGTGGAGCAAGAGCAGGAGCGGTGATAACGATTAACATGGATAGGTTAAAAATAAGGGTATTATTGTCTTAATTTTGTTAAATATGTTAAATTGTTTTAGAATTATAGTTTAAGGAGGTTAATTGACACAATTGAAAGTTTATAGTGTTCTTTTGAAACAACCCATAAGTACAAGGTGTTTTTGTGTAATTTACCCTAAATCGACTAAAATCCATCTAACCCTAACTACTTAAAGAACTAGCCGGACATAGCAAAATCAAGAACAAAAGAAAATAGAAAAGCTCCCCCAAACTCCATAGATAATTGGTGGATCTTCAATATCTCCAGTGAACACTTGACGTTGATCCGTCTCCGCCGCTCACGAACATGAATCTGATGTTCCTTCGCGTTCCTTCAGCCTCCAAGCACCCAAGAGTTGTTTTACAATGTGAAAGTTATGTATTTCTGGTCCCCAACGGTGTTTAAATAGGTCAAGAGTTCGTATTGCAGTAGAAAACTTGAATGACCTAAGTTGGACTTGTCTGGGCACTTAAGCTTGTTGTAGCGCGCTTAAGCGCCCTAGCACAGTGATTTCTGACTCGCGTTGCGCGCTTAAGCGCGATTGAGGGCGCTTAAGCGCGATTGAGGGCGCTTAAGCGCGCTCCTCGCGACAAAACTTTCTTCTTGTGGCACGCTTAAGCCCTGAGTTGGGGGCTTAAGCGCCCAGAGGCAGTAGCTATTTGCATTTTTAGGGAGCTTAAGCTTCTGAATAGGGGCTTAAGCTCCCTCTTCTAACAACTTGGGAATCTTGATAAGATCTACAAATCTTTTTGTTTTGCTTTCCATCTATCCATATCTTTTCTGATTTGGTCTCTCTTTATCTAAATCTTCATATTTGAATCATTTGTTATCAAATCCCTTTAAAAATAGCAAATATATTATTTAGTTCCAACAATCAGATAATGTTCATGATTATCATTTTAAAACCCTAATTTTTGACTTGTTCAACTAGATAATTCATATTATTTTAGTCCATTAAACAAGATAAACTAAAGGTTTATCAATACCTTACTAAAGTTTGAAATTATTAAGGTCCAATCAACTAAAATTCGATCATGCTTATCCGTCGGGGCTTCACATGACCATTTTATTAATGGACCCACAAATGTAGCCCACAAGTTTTAAAATTAAATTCTTAATGTAAAACCTTCACCCATTAAATCTTTTTATTGAGAATTTTCATAAGCTTTGTTGAATGTAAAATTCATTGTTTAATTTCAAATATTGTCTTTAATAACTTAGTATTGAAGGGTGATGAGTCGTAGAATACTTTATTAAAATTTTGAAATTATTAAGACCCAATAAAATCCAATCATGCTTATCCGATGAGGCCTCACATGGTTATTTTATTGATAGGCTCACAATGTGCCTGGAGGTTAAATTAATTTCGTAATTTAAATCTCCTCCCATTAAACATAAGTAATTTTTCAATTTCCTGAAATTATTCAATTGAGAGTATCCTTTGTTTCATTTCAAAAACTATGTAAGCAGTGCACCGATGAACGTGCATTGCTTAGCTTATTAGAATTTTAAAATCATTAAGGTCCTGAAATTCAATCATGAAAGACAGTGTGTGCTTCACACAATCATGATACATGATTGTGGTATGCAGCTTGTGTTTATACATGACCATTCTAGAAGACCCATAATTTACTCGCAAAATAAACAGTTTTCTTTTAGAAAAAAATTTTGGATTATTTGTCTTGATTTTTATTAGCTAAAATTAATTAATTCAATTATTAATCTATATATTTTTTAGAAAAAAAACATAATAATTATTAATTAATTTTTTTAAGATAATCTAAAAATTAAAATAATCTCATAATAATTATCATACTAGTCGCTGAAGACATAATAGTTACTATGCTTATATAATTAAAAAGTTATGCAACAATATGGCACAATCTATTCTATATGGAATGTTGTCACATCAAACATGTTATCACTTCATATAATTCATTCATCCATAAAAATAAAGCAATTATAAATTAGACTTTAATACATGGTTCCCTAAAGAAAATAAAATAAAATAAAATTACAAATTGGAACAAAAAATTCATCTTCCCTTTTCTTTCTTCCTTTCAGTCCATGGGTTCTATTTCAAGCCCCTTTATAGTAACCATGGGTTCAAAGGCCCAAAATACCAAACTTTGGCAAGAAACCCTAAGTCAACTTTTAGGAATCCTAACCGTCATATCCACCGTGCTGTGACCCGAACTCATCTTAACATGAGACTCTAGGAGAAAGACTGTAAGAACCTGCACCGTTAAATTAGGAAATTAAATGATTAAATATGAATTTAGAAAATAATTCCATAGTTGACCTTAAAAAAATATGGTAAGGTTAGAATAATTATCGCAAGGGATTAATAACGCTGAAAGTCGTTTTTCTGACGAAAAGTGCAGATACTGGTTCTGTTTTACAGTATAAGTGTGTACCGATGAAGTATCCCGAAAAATTATAATAAGTGTATGAATATTCCTTGAATAATATTTAGGACTGGTATATCAAGTTTGGAGTCAAAATAATGAGAACTGGCGTCAGGACTCATATTGGCTACGTGAAAACGCGTACCGGCAAAGTGTTGCAAAAATGATAATAAAAATATGACAAATCCTAAAAAATGGTTAGGTTCAGAATATGAAGTTTGAGATTAAAATGATTAGCGGAACTATTAGCTCTAATACCGACAGATTAAACTTAATGAGACTATAAATATCGATTGGCACATAATCCTAGGCCATATTTTTTATACTACGTGAGACTCCTTTGGTTGCTGATCAGCCTCTTCACCATTGCATTGCCTCCCTCTCCTTGGAAAACCACCAAGTGATCACATTCCTCATTGGTTCTTCTCCCTAAATCTTGTAAACACTTAGTACTAGGCCTTTTGGGAGTAAGAGACCCTTGTTGTTAAGTGTTTTGGCTGCTGTGAGTTGGGTTTAGGGGCTGTGTTCTGGGTTCTTGTGGAGGAGGCCATTTACTTGGCATTTGATGCTCCAAGAAGCTACCCAATAAGGGACTTTAGGGCGAGAGATCAACAAAGGGACGATCGCAAAAAGCCTTGATGAGATGACAATTGACGGGAGGGATTCTGATTCAATCATTCCACCAACAATAGCAAGTACACATTTATGACTTTGCCAATCAGCTTCTCAAGCACCTTGTTCATCATCTCCTGGTAGGTAGCTCTTATGTTCTTCAGTCCAAAGTGCATCACATTGTAGTAGTAACTAGTCTTCTGAGCGATAAAAGTCATTTTCTCTGTTCGTAAGGATTTGGTTGTAGCTCGAATAGGAATCCATGAAAAGAGAAACAAAACACTGAGGAGTCATCGATGAGATCATCGAGGTTGGGCATGCGTTATGATTTCTTATGGTAGGCTTTGTTGAGGTCGGCGTAGTCGACACAAACATGTTGTTTCCCATGGGCCTTCTTGACTAGGACAACCACTACAAAAAAATTGCTCTTTAGCCACATTCAGAAATGTGGCTAAATCACATAAAAAATGTGGCAAACAGAAGCTACCACACTTTTTATAAATGTGGCTAATGATGGCGTAGCAATATTTTAGCCACATTATTTGTTTTACTTAGCCACATTCTAACTCAGTGTGGTAGCATATATTTAGCTACAATTAAAGTTAAATTTGGCACGATTTGAATGTGGCTAAAATAGTTAAAAAAAAATTTAAAAAAAATAGCCACACTAAATTGTGGCTACTTTTTTACTTGCTGAAATTTAACGAAAACAGCATTTATTGTAGTTAAACACAGTATTAAATATCTGAGAAGTACCCATCAGTCCACAACTCACGGTTGACGGGAACAGCACCCGTACCAATTAGAAGAGGAAAGAAGTAACTCAAAACTACTAGGATTATAGCAAAAAACAAAGCTTTTGGAAGAGTTTTCTTTGGATTTTCCACTTCTCCAGAAAGAGTACTTATGGAGTCCCAATAATTAAGATTCCAAAATAGAGTATTCAAATACAAATTCCAGTCAACATCATTTAGGTTTGTCACAGCCCATCTTGAAGGTTCTAAGTATGGAATTGCCAACAACCCCATAACCACAAAAGGTAGGATCGAGAAAATCACTAAACAAACAGCAATCCCTCCCACAATGGTTAAACCCCTATAGTTCAAATAAGTGAGAAGTATTGTCAGACCCCAGGTTGCAACAACTCTAGGTAAGCCACCACCTAATGCAGGGATTCCTGACTTCAGAGAATCAAGAAATAGAACTGGGTATAAAGCATTATCTATCACCCCACTCAGCCACTTCATCCATCCTTGCTGAAACCCCCAATAGGGACCCAAAGCATAGGAAACCCAAACCACATAGCCATTGTTTTCAGGGAACATGGTACCCGTCTCAGCAGTAATCAAAGCTTCAGGTCACTCATCTTTCCCCATTTATCGCCACCTTCCCTTCATTTGCTTTTCCCTCATAAAATGTCTGCTACACATTTATAGGAATATTAGTTCCTCAAATTAGCAATGATACCAAACAAACATCTTCAATATGCTTCTCATGATTGTTAAAACTTACTTAATTTTACTTCATTTTCGATTGTGATCTTCAGTTTATGGATATATTATATATTTATATGAAGTGTAAATGTAATGACACCAATTACCTGGAGGAAATAACACATGTCTCTGGCTTGTTCCCTAGACTGAGTTTCTTAAATGGGGTCTCGAATTCGTCGAGTAGTTCAAGCTCAAGCAAGGCATCCTCAATAGCCTGAGCCAACTCCTTATCATCATCAGCATTGTGGAAGCAGTCCCTTTTCTTAGCATCAAGAACTACTTTTCCCCATACTGAGTCGCTGTTGCTCAAAGTTGATGCATTTCCTATTATCCAAAGACAATATCTACACAAAATCATATTAAGATAACACTAGTAATTTCAAGCTTTCGGAAGGGTGTCAACTCTCATAATAGATGATGCTTATTAATCCATCAATGAAAATATTACAAGGACTCAAGGAGTACCTTCCAAGGCCTGTAGAAAAGTGGCTTTCTAAACTTGGGATTTAAACTTCAAATGTACCTGTCCTTCTCAAATTAGAACCTAGATTCATATGAGTATATGTGCAAGTGTTGATGTTTGGCTAAATTATTTTTTTTATTCCTAAGCATAAGTATACAAGCAAGACATATATAAATTTTTGTTTATTTTGTTCTTATTAGTTAGTCTTAGTCATAATTAATTTTACCTTTTTGGTAAAAATAATTTCTTCTGTGTTGCTTCGCTTGCACTTTTCTTCTCTGTATCAGGAGAAAAGACCAAAGTGTCAATAAATATCAGATAAAGCACCAAAGCTAAGTGAAATCAAAATAATAAACTGCAAATTTTGGAAAAGAACTGCATTTTCTTATATGTATTTGAATCAGGTAGATGGTGTGTATTAGTGGTTTTGTTCCGACTCAAGATAAGTTAATGTAAGTTATCTTTGGCACTCAAAAATATTGATTTACTAAAGAAGTAAAGTAATTAAACCCTCTTAAAAATTATGATATAAAGGAAATGAACTATTTCTACTAGTCAAAAAGAAAAACTTCAGACAAAAGTCGTAACTGCACCGGGCGCATCACATAATGGGCTTTGGCATTCCCCAACTGTTCAGAATTTCAAACACATCCCTCATCATATCTGGAATTCACCATTTAATGACCAAAGTATCCTCAAAAGGAAAGAACTAAACTTATATCATGTTGGCATAAAGTTGAGCCAAAGACCTCATTTCAGCTTCAGCATTACTAAGAAATTCCTTCAAAATCTGATCATTACCTAGTAAAAAAAAATCATTTTAGGTAAAGCTAAACATTTGATTACCACTAAAATGTATAGGCAAAGAAGTCTATAATTCAGATAAGTTGCGAATAACCCAAACAAAAGGGTAACTATGCCTGTGGGATACTCCACATCATTGGTAATCCTATATATGAGGCTACATAATAGACACAGATATGCATTAGTCTGTTGCAACTCTAGCTACAGAGTTCCATTGTCATACTATTAAAGCCAACTTAAATTTAAATATCTGTATTGTCATATTCTCGTTCAAAAAAGAAGGTGCTTTCAAATGCACCCTTTGCTAACAGTCCTAATGATCTTATAAATGTGGGCTTCAACAGCTAATTTTTAAAGTGTTTGGATTTTACCTTTTGGGCAAGTCTTTGTCGTGAAAAGAAAACTAAAATCCTGATCCAAGCAGTGTATAAAACAATGTTTTCATAATAGCATCAATGTAAAAATAACATTCAATGACATATAACTAGAAATAAAAATCATCATCATGAGAGAATGAATATGCTTGATGAATGGATAATGTCCCTTGCCATGACTGTGAACATCATGACAAAGCGAAAAAATGAAATTATTTTATTTTATTTCATTGTTAGGGCGAAGACCATAGAATAAAAGCCAAACAAAATTAAGTTTGATTTCAAAGTGTTACCAATTTATAGATTTTACTTTTAGAAATCTCCATCTCTTAAATATAATCATATATAACTTAATTCTAAAAATAAAAACGAAAGTAAATGCTGCATTCAAGCTCTGGTTTGTGATTCGGCGATAGAGAAGAAAATCAACAAGAGAAATTGAATCTGAAAAAATAAAAGGAAAAAAGAAACAATTAAAAATTAGGTTTTACTAATTATGTTGTGCCTTGTTCAACTTTTTGGATGAAAAATCCTTGAATCTTTCATCGCGATTCTCTGCAGAGTCGAGCAAAGACACATTGGCTCATGTACGACTTCATAGCCAAAGACGTCCTCGCCGAGTACAAGACTCCATGGTGGACCGCCGCCAAGAAAGTCGATGAGTCTGCCCTTAACCGCCTCATCGAAGCTGTCGACGGCCGCGACGTCGACGCCGTAGACGCTGACGGCAGAACAGCGCTCCTCTTCGTCGCCAGACTAGGCTCGAAACCGTGCGTCCGAATGCTGGCCACCGCAACAACAGCGGCGGCCTGGCGGCGCTTCACATGGCGGCAGGGTATGTGAGACCTGGCGTCGCGAAGCTTCTTTTGGAGCTCGGTGCAAATCCTGAGGTGGAGGATGATTGAGGAAGAACGACGCTTGATCTGGCGAGGGAGATTCTGAAGGTGATGCCGAAGGGGAATCTGATGTAGTTCTACGGAGGATTGGATTGGAGAGTGTGATTAGGGTTTTGGATGAGGCGTATTTTGGAGAAAGGAACGGAAAAAGGCTTAGGGGAGAAGAGAAACAATATAAAAAGAAAAAGAAAAAATAAATAAATGAGAAGCAAAATAAGCAAGAATAAGAAAAGATTTACTGTGAATGGAGTTATTTTGCCACATTAAGTGCGTAGTAAAAATTGATTTTACGACATTAAATTTAAATGTGGTTAAGATAATGTCCCTAGACTCCGTCTTTTTTGTAGTGAACGTTGGAGAGCTAGGTAGTATAGTAAATGAAGAAGCCGACCTCCAATGTTTGCTATACTCGATAAACCTTTTTCTTTAAAAAGCTCTTCCTAAGAGCGTTTAGCTTTTAGCTTTTTTCTTCATTATAAAAAGAGAGATTTTTATTATAAGAGATTTTCTCAAAACCTGTTTGGCCTAACTTATACTTATAAGTACTCCTAGCTTAAAAAAAGAGAGGATTCAAATAGACATTTAAACAAGTTGTGAATTTTACAATTTACATATCTTTTTAGGGTCAGGATCATTTTACACCAGTGTAAGTTACACTCTCAATTTTATCCGTTGATTCCATTTATATCTAACAGCTCAAATTTTTTAGTAATATGAGCCATTGGATACAAGTGGATCAATGGTCAAGATTGAGTGTAAGACTTCTAACTCTTACACCAGTGTAAGAATATCCTGCCCCATCTTTTTATTGAACATGTAAATAACATGAATTATCATATGTTTGAACTGATAGATCACAGGTGGGTTAGTTTTATATTCAAAACTAGTTTGAATTGGTTCAAAACAAAATCAGTTCAAACTAGTTTTAAATTTGTTCAAAGTTGATTCTGAACTGATTCCAAAAAATAAACCAATTCGGTTCTCCAAATAAAAATATTTTTTTGAGTTCTATTTGGTTCAATAAAGAAAACCGAAAACGAATTTAACTGTGCACACCCGTTAATTATAAAAGCTCCCAACAAAAGGTGAAAGCTTCTGCCTTTTACTCACAAAGTCATATTTTCCTATAGAGTGCATGGCCATATAGTTATCATATATTGATATATTGAAAAAAAATTCTGAAAATACTTATTTATATAAATAAGTATTTGATAAATAAAAAATAAATTTTTTTAAAAATAATATCTAAAAATTGATATATTAATATATAAATATATTTAATTTTTATTTTAAAAATTGGTTAAAAAATAAGTATTTCTCATTTTTTAAAATTTATTTTAATATTTCAAATAATTTTTATGTTTATATGAAATTTCATTAATAATATAGAAATTTACAAATATAACCTTTAAAATAATTTTAATTAGATTTGAATTTGTATAAATTATTTTAGTGAAACAGCTTATTTACAACTTGAGTTTTAAAATAGCTGTTAAAGCTAAAAAAGTCATTTAATCTCCGAATAACTTTAACTTTAATTTTTAAACTCTTATTTTTAATTATAAATTTTAAATAATTTTTATGCTAAAAATAAGTTAAACCAAACAAACTCGGAGATTAAAAAAAAAAATTAGGAGCCTGAATAAATATTCATTATATATAAATTATATTTATATCATCACATATTTTTAAATATATTAATGTTTTAAAACTATCAAATAATTTAAATAAAAAACATTATTAGCACAAAAAGTTTCAATTAAATTTGTAACAGGGAAATTTCCGTGACCCTGTCAAGAGTCGCAACAAACTTTTGAGCTAGCTTTTGTGAGATTTATAAGGCCTTGGGCACTTCCACCCTTTGAGCTAGCTTTTAATATGGTGATCCTATGAGTCCCTATCATTTGGTGCTCTCGTTGAGAGTCAAACTGTGAGCTAACTTTTGATATGGTGATCCCATAGGTCCCTATCATTTGGTGCTCTCGTTGAGAGTCAAACTGTGAAAAAGGCTACCTGATAGGTGGGTGAAGCCGCCCAAAGGGAGAAAGGGCTACTACCGGGTTAGAGTGAAAGCCGCCGTGGCCTTAATGTGTTGGCAATGTTAGGAGTCTCACATTTGTGTGCTAGTGTGGAATTTATAAGACCCAAAAAAGTATTTTAAAAGTGGAGGAACAAACTAGTTAAAACTCAAACTTATAGTTCAGGATTTTTACAGCATGATAAACGTAGATATATTTGAAGTCCATGGTCAACAAAAGGATACATTAAGTGTATTTTTTATATATAACAAAACAGGAAATTAAGGAAGCTAATTAACACATACAAGAGTGTACTTTAACTAGACATAGTTTCATTAAGTAGATGATGACATTGAGATTTGGCAGAGTTGTCCTTCAAGTAGGACATCAAACTTTAGTGAAACGCAAATATTCCTTCTTTGATGGAAGATCAACAGTCTCAAAACCTCGAGGGAACATTTCCTTGGCTTGCTCGTTAGTCACATCAGGGGAAATCACAACCGAGTCCCCTGGCTTCCAATTTGCTGGGGTTGCAACCTTGAACTTTGAGGCCTTCTGCAATGACTCTATCACCCTCAACACTTCATCCATGTTCCTACCAGTTGTTGCAGGGTAGAGAAAACTCAGCTTGATCTGCAACAACCCACCAAATTAACATATTAGCCTAGCCCCTCATTACTTATAGAGGAAAAAAAATGCAAAATTTATTAATTTGATCACAGAAAATTTTATACCTTCATATCTGGTCCCACACAATGAAGAGCCCTTGAGGGTAGGTTACCATTGGAATCTTTCTCATCAGGGTCAACCATGTTGAGTTGCTTGATGATTTCTCTGCTGGGATCAGCAATGATTGGATAGTTCACCTTTGCACCTGGCTGCATGCAACAAGTAAAACTAAACACACTTAGATATCCTCAAATGCAAAGGCCATAATTTGTTTTTTGTTTCCTCCTTTTGTGACCAAAGGTCATAGTTCAAATTCGCGAAAAATAATCTCTTTACAAATATGCAGGGTACTATAAAAATTATGAGATATAACACACCAGTGCACATGGGGTGTTATAGATACCCCTTTTCCTAATTGAGGGTTCAATGGGAAGTGAATTTTGTTATTCTGATGTCAATTTTAATAAGAACAATTAAAAAAAACTCACAGTGTAGGCTTCAATGTCTTTGATCCATTCAAAGTGGGATAGAAGATCATCACAGGAAATACCCAATAGCTTCACTCCTCTTTGATAAAACTCAGAAGCATACTGAGCCATCTTACCAAGTTCAGTGGTACAAACCGGGGTGAAATCACCTAAATACATATTATATAACCATGCATCAACATAGAGAACTCAAAGAAACAGATATATCATAGATAGACACAATAATCTATAAAAGTTAACAATGAGAACCTGGGTGAGAGAAAAGGATGGTCCAGCTATCAGCACAGAACTGGTGGAGCTTGATTTTGCCATGAGTAGTTTCAACTTCAAGGTCAGGAATTGAGTCTCCGATGGTAAGGCCTGGCATTTTTCCAAGTTTCTGGTTTTCAAATTTCAACACTCTTACGGTTTATGCTTTATGTCATGGATCAGAATATGCGCAAACTGAGATTATATAAAAACAAAGGACAGTTCCTTGCATGAAGAGAACGTGGCATGTTGTGGCTATCGAACGTGACTGTGCTGTTGCTTACATGTCACTGGAGTCCCACAGTTTTCTCCACGTACATCTTCTCTTACCTTTTGTTCTCAACATTTTTTTATTTTTGAGTCAATAGTATTTTTATACGTTCTTCACTTTTAGTCTCTTATAAAAATAAATTAGTCCTTAACAAATTTAAAGTGGACTCATTTAGTTGAAATTATAGTCCCTCGCGAATTCAAAAAAGATCCATATTAGACTAAATTGTGTCTATTTTGAATTTGTTAAGGATTATCTGATTAATTTATTTTTGTAAGGAATTAAACTAGGATATTATTTTTTTGTTAGGAATAAAAAAGTTCTTTACTCTTTATTTTTTTGAATTTTCTCGTTTTCTTCTTTCGTCCCCTTATCTTCGTTAGTTTTTTGGATCCTGCTGTGACTCTTAAACAAGAGTTTTTGAGTGTCGTCTTATCTATTATGAGATATCAGTTATAAAAACTTTTAAAAAATATAATGTTCAAATTAATTTAGGTATTGATATCTTGTTATTGGCAGTTTTCCATACAAAAATATTCATGTGTTTCGTTTTAACATTGCTTTTCAAATTCAGTTTTGGAGAGAAAAAAATCAACTTTCCGTTGCCGGGACTTGAACCCGGGTCTTTCGGGTGAGAGCCGAATATCCTGACCAACTAGACTACAACGGATTTGCGTAACGTGTGATGTTATAATACTTTATAATTTTTAAACATTTGCAGCCGGTAACAAAACAAGAGCATATAGTGAATGGAAATTCTTGTGCCTTCTGCTTGGGGTCACCTTAAAGTTATATGATCTTACCTACATACATTCTTCACTTGCCCTATGGTTGCATTGTTTGCGTTGACATATTCGATCAACATGAAAATATCTTTATTAATAATTATAAAAAATCATTTTTATTTTATTTTTTAGTTCTAATTCTTTATGTAAAAATGATGAAAATAATTGCCATTCAATGGGTTAAAGTAGTATTGCTCTATTTCGTCATTATTGGTGCTTTTAGGTTCAACTATTTATCTTATCTTTGTTTTTGACTAATCAAAAGGCTTGATAGGTGAAGACTTTGATGATTGCCTTGTTGCGAAATGAAGGATTTTCTTGTTTTTGGATAAAGTCATGAAATCTTGATCCGCACAAAGCAATGGGACCAATGTGACTTTTATAACACACTTCGAAATGTCGGAAAGAATATCCATTTAGAAACGAATATGTTTATTTATTCATTTTTGTATGTCAAACAAATTATATTATATCATTTTAAAGTGATTTAACGGGAGAATATTTTGGTTTATTTTACAACTTTTATTTTTAAAGCCATTAATATGAACCAATCCCCGTCGTTCACTAGGTCCGTAATTAAAGTGGTAGCTATCTTGATAACAAAGGAACTGAGTAAATAAATAAATAAAAAAGCCTCGATTCGATTTTCACATGTCACTTTTGAGAAGGGTTTAAATATTTTTATTCATGACTCATCCCGTACTTTGGATTAGTCTCTCATAGCCTTCTTAAAGAGTTGAAGTTTGTAGAAATACCAGAAAGAGCCAACTCCCTTCAAAGAAGGTAATTAGTATCAAGTTAACTCAACAAAAATAAAAAAACATTGTGAATTCTTATATTAAATCTAGGGTTTTATCATATTAATAGTGTGTAGGCAATATTATTATATTAAAAAGCTTTCTTTTTTACATTGCTAATAGTTGAGATCATCACTCCACCGGGCTAATTAAGGTTACATATCACCGCACAAAGCCAATGATAATAAGCTAGGAAGCATAAATTAGAAAACATTGCAGTTTCCCCTCCTTCAACAAATAAAAGTTGTTGTTTATGCATGTTATAACTCTTTGGCCTTACATCGAGTGTTCTTAAGATAATGGAGTCATACACTGCTGCAAATGTTCTGAGAATCTTCATGTCTTATCAAACAGAAGCATACCAGGGAATTGATTGGTTCAGCTGAGGAAAAGAATGGCTTGTATGTGCTAACCAGCTACCCCATCCCGAAACGTGCTACAGCTCAGCTAGATGACAGTATCCGTTGTAATTTTTCCAGTTTGAAAAATAATGCCTCTCTTTTATGGCACTTTAGACTTGGGCACTTATCCCATTCTGTAATGAAGGACATGTCTGATCAATTTTCTTTCATTCCAATAAAAGAAGTTTCACCTTGTGATATTTGTTAGCTAGCTAAGCAAACCAAATTACTCTTACCTATTAGTTCCACATTGAGTGACAAACCTTTCCATATTTTACATGCTGATATATGGGGACCAAATTCTGTCATCTCATTCTGTTTTTATATCCAGAAATGTTATTTTTTTTTTAGACACACTTCCCATTCCCAAGCCCAATTCCTGCTGATGCTCCCACTACATGCATCCCCTCTTCACCACATCCTTCCTTATCTTTTGATCCCTCACCTGATCCTATACCTTCTTACCTTCATCCTACTACCACTCCCATACCTGATTCCACTCATCCCACTCCCCTTCCTGTACCTGACACAGCCAATGACCATAACCTTCCTACTTCACCTCCTCGCAGATCCCATCGAACCCGTCATACACCTCAGTACCTTGCTGATTATCACTGCAGCCTTTCTGCTTCTTTTTCTGACCAACGTTCCTCAAGTACTCCTTACCCCTTATCATCAGTTTATTCTTTTGATTTCTGTTCTCCGCATTATAAAAATATATGTCTCAATCTAAGCACACATGTGGAACCAAAATCCTATGCTGAGGCTTCCAAATTCACTTGCTGGCATGATGCCATGCAAGTTGAATCAGATGCTCTTGCCTTGAATCATACATGGTCACTTGTTGATGTGCCACCTGACATTAAGCCCATCGGTTGCAAATGGGTCTTCCGTATTAAACATCGAGCAGATGGATCTGTTGAGCGATTCAAAGCTCGCCTTGTAGCTAAAGGCTACACTCAAATGGAAGGCATTGACTTTTTTGACACTTTCTCCCCTGTGGCAAAGCTCACAACCGTGCGCATTCTTCTCACCTTAACCTCTTGTAATGGCTGGTTGATTGAACAGTTAGACGTCAATAACGCCTTCCTTTATGGCGACCTTAATGAAGATGTATACATGTCCCTGCCACCTGGGTTCTCTTGTTCTTCTCCCAACAAGGTTTGCAAACTCCAAAAATCGCTTTATGGCTTGAAGCAGGCTAGCCGACAGTGGTATGCCAAATTATCTTCTTCTTTTTTGTCCATTGGCTATAAGCAATCCTCTGCCGATCACTCCTTATTCATCAAGAAGACTGGTTCATCCTTTACAGCTATTCTGGTCTATGTGGATGATGTCCTCGTTGTTGGTAATAATTCCACAGAAATTCTTTTTGTCAAGCAGTCCTTAGATTCCCAATTCAAGATAAAGGATCTTGGACCTGCTAGATATTTTCTGTGATTGGAACTCTCTCGTTCTCCTACAGGAATTGTGGTCAACCAACGCAAATATTGTCTCGAGCTTATTCAGGACAGTGGATTGTTAGCTTCGAAACCAGTATCAACTCTTATGGATCCTTCTATTAAGTTGCAACGTGTTCAGGGAACACCCTATGCAGATCTTGCTGCCTACCGTCGCCTCATTGGCCGTCTTCTGTATCTAACCAACACTCGCCCAGATATCTCTTTCTCGATTCAGCAGCTGAGCCAATATGTTGCTAATCCGATGACCACCCATCACACAGCTGCTTTAAGGGTCCTTCTTTATTTGAAAGGTTCACCTGGCAAAGGGTTATTTTTCCCTTCAGCCAATCTCCCTCATCTTTCGGCCTTTGCAGACGCGGATTGAGCATGTTGCTTGGATACCAGACGCTCTGTTACTGGTTTCTGTATCTTCATCGGTTCTGCCCTTGTCTCTTGGCGTTCGAAGAAACAGAGCACTGTCTCACGCTCTTCTACGGAAGCTGAGTATCGTGCTCTTGCCAGTTTAACGGGTGAATTACAATGGCTTCGCTTTCTCCTCAATGATCTCTGCTCTCCTGCAACCGAACCGATTTCTGTTTTTTGTGACAATAGATCAGCAATTTATCTTGCTCATAATCCCGCTTTCCATGAGCGCTCTAAGCATATCGAGCTCGACTGTCACATTATACGTGAAAACAGAAATCCATTTGTTATAGAGGATTTTTCTAGTAGTGATCAGTGGTCTAATCCATTTGTTACCTGTTTCTTCCTCTGCTCAGGCTGCTGATGTTTTTACCAAGTCTTTGCATCCTCAGCCATTTACCACCAACATCTCCAAGCTTGGTCTCTTTGATATCCATCGCCCAGCTTGTGGGGGGGGTATTGACCAATGATTCTGATGCCAGCTAGATGACAGATCAGCACTAACAGATTGTTTGTTATTGTTTGTTATTTTCTGTTATAACTGAATTTTGTTATTCAGTTCCTTTATCCCCTTTATCCTTTACTGTAATATATATAGGAACAATTAGCATAAGATTCAATAAGATTGATTTCATTTTTCCTAAGATACTAAAGCCTTCTTTTTCACTCTGATCCATCTCTTTAAGATCATCATTCACAAACGGATCTTCGTTATGGAATATTCGTGATGGAAATTTTTGGCACAATTTTCATGACCGTCGAAATATTCATTCCGACGAGATCATCACAAACGGATCTTCGTCAGTCGGAATTTTCGTCGAAAAATTACTGATAAATGGATTGATTCTTAAAATCGATGGAATATGTCCGTTGAAAAGGAAGATTTTTCTAACCGCATGTTACACTTTAATTAGAATAATACTCTCAAAGTATATATGAGTATTTTTTTTAAATGTTATACCATGCCGTAATTTTGCCTTAGAAGGTTATATTTACAATCTATTTTCGTTTACAATATTTTATAATCATATATCTTAATCGTTGATTTTCGTCAATCAACGATTATTATTTTCTTAAATCAAACTTATTAATTAATTATTAATTCACAATAAATAATAACCGTTGATTGACAGATATTAAATGATAACCGTTGGTTGTAAGTATAACCTTCCTGTTAATTAAATATGAATAGTTGGCAAAATATTCGAATTCAGTTAAAAAGGATACTCAAAAAGTTTTCAATTGAGAATATTAACCCAAAATCTTGCATTCTACCATAGAGAAGGCCTGTAGATTAACCTACTTGAAATAACTAGCTATAGCTATTTAATCACTGAGCTATGGCAATAAGTAAGGAGTGAGCAGAATCACTAGACTTAAGTAGGTGTCTGCAAGTAGGACAAGAAGAATGAGAGAGCAACCACTTGTCAATGCAAACCACATGAAAATGGTGATTGCAATTTGGGAGGAACCTTATCTGGTCCCCAATAGAGAACTCTGCTAAGCAAATGACACAATTAGAAGGTGAAGATGTAGACCCAGATGTGTTGCTATAAGTTGAGGTTGGCAAAGCTACCATTTCTTTCCTCTTGAGCCCAGAATTGAGCCTCCGAGAAGCAAACCATTGTAGAGGCTCAGTGAGGACACGACTAGCACATTGAAAGACACATTGTAACATAGTGTTAAGGCCAAGAGCACAAAGGAAGGCACATATAATTGCTGCCACAAGTACCATCCAATCGAGACCTTTACCTTGTTCTTCATGTTGTTGTTGTATGCTTATGAAGGGGCCAAGAGTGGGTGTGGGAGCTTGAGAGTGAGTTTCAGCCATGGAGATGAACAAGTGATGAGGAAATTTGGTAGATAAAGAAAGTGGGAGACATGGAGAGGACGCCACATAGGTACAAAAAAAATAACACCCAACACAAATGGAATGTATTGCAACCGAAAGAGAAATTAGTGCTTGATATTCCGGACATGAGAGATGCTTACTTGATTCTCCACTGGTCTTCCTTTCGGGAATTATACGTCATTCTGACATGGCATATTTCGCTATACTATGTAGCGATAATTTGTTATACACAGTGTAGCGAAATATGGCGTGTGGCATTTTGACAAAATTTACTATTGACGTGACAGTCTAGTAAATTTTTTTGCCAAACATGACAAAATGATCACTGTTCCTTGCTTTTGTATACGCGCTTCAAAGAAATGAAAAAGCTGGTCATATCTTTCTATTTGATTACCCTCCTAGTCTTGTCAAATCATCTCAATTTTATCGTGAAAACATCAAGTTTTTTTTATCATAGTGATGTAAGGAGAGGATTTTTTTGGATTATTCGAAATTCAATAATTTTACTAAAATAATGTCGTGAAATGCGCATAAAGTGTGTGCTCGTTCAAGTCACACTCGAGGGGATGCATAATTTGTGCATGAGTGAATACACACTTGCAATGTGTCAGACACCGCAACTCGCGCATAAAGGTATTGCGCAACTTATAGCATGCAACATGTAATAGACTAGTATTCATGCATGTGCATGCACAACTTAAACGAGCGCATCTCTCATATGTGTCTCACGATGTTATTTTGATAAAATATTGGGATTTTGATTCAATAATCAATACGTTAAAAAGTTTTCCTTTTACATTAATTGGATCAAAAGGCCAAACAATTAATTGTAATTTATTTCATTCACTTTTGAATAGAGTTATATTAAAAAAAAAATTATATTCTTTTAATTAAAATTGTCTAAAGTATATTTCTTATATGTTCTTCAAAATTGTATAAACTTGATTTATGTACGTATCTTTATTTAACCTTTTTTTGATCTTTTGAAACTGAATTTCTTTATTTATATATAAATTCCGTCCTATTTATAAAATTAGTCAATACCAACATCAACCTTCTAAGGCCTTTGATGTGATGGAACTCATCAATGATTGAATCCACTAACTCAGTTATCTCTTTCTTTTTCTTCCCAGTAATGGCGCGGCGTGGGGTTTCCGCTAGTAGTGGGGCAAGATAAATGGTTCTTTCTTTTAATTTTGTTGGATTAATATATGAGTGTTTTTTTAAGGATAAAGATATTTTGGGTCACATCTTTCTGAATATTATTATTTAAATAAAAAATTACAAAAATAAAATATTTTAAAATCAATTTACGAATTTATTGTAATAAGTGACGTTCATAATGAACTTGATCACTTGCGTCCAAAAAAAGCGCAATTGCATGATGAAACAGGCCTAGAAGAGGTGTGACTAGTCGCGTCCCAATTAGGCGCAATCGAGCACCCTAACCTGTCTAATTTGAGCGCAATTGAACCTGTTCTCCTCTCATTCTCCTTTTCACATTTTTCACAATTTTCCATACTTGACTGATAAAGCTTCGTTGTACAAAAAAATTCAAGGAAAAATTTACAGAGAAAGTCATAACAAAGTCTTGGAGAGAAAGTAGAAAAATGGTGTGAAATGAAAAAGTAAAAAAATGGGATATAAATAGATGTGCTATCTCGCTCCTAATTTGGGCAAAAGTGCTCATGCCTTTTCTAGGAGTGTTTTATCATGTAATTGCACTTTATTTGGGCACGAGTGGTCACGAGTATTTTGGGCGTGACTGATTGCAATAAATTTCTAAGTTGGTTCCAAAATATTATGTTTTTTATTTAAATAATATTATTTTATTTTTTCCCCTTTTGTGTTATTAAGTATTTATTGGGAATATGATATCAACTCAAGCCTCGGCGGGATCTAATATTTCGATTAAAACGAGTTGCATTTGGTAGGGGTGTGCATGGGTCGAATTAAACTGCATTTTTTGAAAAAGTGAATTGAATTGGTTTAAATAGTTCGATTTAGTTCAAAATCGGTTCGGTTCAGTTTGAAAATGGCTCGGTTTGGTTGGAATCAATTCGGTTGAAAATGGTTCAGTTCGGAACCGGTTTGGGTCGACCCTCTTCTGAAAAGAAAAAAAAAAAGAAAAAAAGAAATAAAAAGCGGTTCGATTTGGTTCAAAAGTGGTTCAGTTTGGTTCGAAAACGGTTTGGTTTGGTTCAGTTCATGAACTTGTTCTGTAAGAATTGGTTTGGTTTGGTTCGGTTCATAAACTTGTTCTGTAAAATTTGATTCTGATTTTTAAAAATCGATTATTTTAAGTGCAATTCGATTTAGTTTATGATTCGATTCAATTTTTTTGATTATTTTGTAACTTCTAACATTTGGAATATTATAGGTGTTTTTTAATGTTGAATTCGAGGCATATCTTTGATTTGCTTGGTCCGACTCAACTGTAGATTCAACAAGTGTTTGACAATAAAAAGCAAAAACTTTAATTAAGAATAAAAAATATCAATTGTGAAGATTGTAAATACATGATGCAGTTATACAAAAGATTAATAAGATAATAAAGAGACAAATATATAGATGAATTTTATTTTAAAATTAAAAATGGACCAAGAGTAATAAGAAAACACAAAACCATAAGCATCAAATATGTGTTGAAGATAAATAAATCAAGGGCAGCATACAAAAAAAATTAGAAAAGAAAAATTATTAGATCATATGTAAGGGTATGATAGTAATTTCGATTTATGACATCAAAGATTGCGTATGTTACACATTACATGATTTTCATAAAGTGAGCTTTGGGCATGTATGAATTAAGGGTTATATTGCTCTCATGTCATAAGAGATATATTATCTTATGTCATAGATATAAACATGTAGTGGATCCCATTATTTATTAAAAAAGAAAAAGAGAAGAACAAAAATCAATGAGTGTGTAGGAAGTTATATTATCTCATTCAACATAAGAGTAATATTACCCATGAATTAAATATGTATCTCCAATTTCACACAAATGATTTTAATATGTATCCACAATTAAACCTGGGCTTGAATCCAGTGAGGGAGATCTTAGGCCCAATAAAATAAACAAAACAATCCAGACCAAAGCCCATATAACGATACTAAACTTGTATACAAAGCAAACTACTCGTTGAAAATTTTGATTTCAAAGCTTTTCCTGATGAGTAATAATCATAGCTTTTCCTTGTCCATCAATGCTTTGGATTTTGAATGTTAGCGTTAGGTCCGGTTTGTTGGGGTTTATACTATAGAAAAGTCAATGGATACGTAGGGGTACAAAAACTCTAGCATTTAGGGATGGGAATTATAAAACTTGAGATTGATTTTTCTAACTTGTGAATTGTAATTTAAGTTAAAAATGGGAAGAAAAAAATGAGACAAATCAAACAAAAAACAATCAATGTCCTTCCTGCACCGCATATCAGATTCTCTTTTCGCTGAAAAACCACAAATAGACAATGGAACTGGTACGGATTAAAATTAAGTTCATGGGTTGAGGCAAATTAATGAACACTTAAAATGACATGTTATGAGATCAGCTCATATTTAGCCATGTTTTGTGAAAAAAATCAGATATTGTTAAAAGGTGTAGCTAATTTTTTATTTGACCAAGCAGACAGCGATAATAGTTGGTAAAGTAAAGTAGGTAAAGCGCCTGTGAGAATTCGTGCTGAATGAGACTTATCAGAAAGTCATTTGACCAAGCGGTAAAGTAGGAAAATATTTTCATAATTACAAATATATCGTTTTTTTATTAAATATGAAAAAAAATATTTATTTCTCCAAAAAAAAAAAAAAAAAAAATATTTATAATATATTTATCTGTATAATTATTTCTTTTCATATTTTTATTTTTACAAGGGAATACCTACTCTCATTGCATAAAAAATTTACTCAAAAAGGAGGTAAAGTTAATGTTTCTTATATTACAAAATATAATTTTATCTTTTATATATATAAAAATACGTGGGACTCATATAAAAAAAATGAAAATATAAATTTCATATATTTTATATGTATATAGAAAATAAAATTATTCTATAATATAAGAAATATTAATCATTTATTCTATTTATATATTTTATATCTGACAGTGATTCTTATCAGAAACCCTCCCCCTCAATTAAAACCATTATCCATTAAAACCTTCCCCCTAAAGTAATATAATTACTTAAAATCAAAAACGACTTTTATACGACTTTTGTGCGTGTTGTGCGGTCTAACAAACTCGTTCTTACATTCCCTGAGGAAGGCGTGTTTGAGCCGCACATAACTGTAGTGACATCTCTATCTTGTGCTTCTTTTTCTAATTGATTTAATCTCAAATCTCAATCAAAAAAGTATGAAATAATCATCCCTGGCCCACAATTCCATACATAACCTCATTACTTAACTAAACGCCAAAACCACTAGACGAGATTTCTAAACGCTTTTTAAATTAAGCTCTGACGAAACTCAAATAGCCTTCCCATTCAGACCCAAGAGGGTTTAAATTTCATTCTGACAGTATAAACCTTTGGGGTCAACAAACACATTAAAAGAGAGGAAAAGTCACAATGACTAGTCAACCCGCTATTGATATCCAAGTCGTCGAAAAGGACAACCTCACAATCTTAGCAACCACGCTGGCTCCCAGCATATTCCAACGGGTAACTAATTTTTTTTATTTTTTTATTTTTACTTCAGAAAAAAAGGTAACTAATTTAACAATAATGATATATTTTACCTCTAAACTCATACATCTATCACTTATTATTATATTATTAACCTTTATTTTTCCTGCCCGCATTATACAGGGAAAATTTATTATGCTCTCGGACGATTAATAATTGGGTGATTTTTTTGTGAAAATCTCCTAAAATTTCTTTCACTTTACTTTTATTTTTATTTTCATGTATATCCCAAATTTTACAAAGTAACCACTCAATTGTTAATCGTCCTTGTGCATGGTAAATTTTCTCCACTGCAAGGTTGGTGTTTGGATTCAAAATAAGAATATCAAATACCAAGCACGCGTATCAACTGGTAGCGGATGATATTTAATCATGATTTTGAGTTCAAGTCTCGGAAAATGAAAATGCAGCTATATTAATAAGAACTTCACATGTGATTGTGATTCTACTCTACTCAACTCAGATTAACCGAGTAATCCATAAAACAATGAATATTATATATAAAAAAGAAAAACTCGAAATTTGATTCGTAGCATCATAATTCAGCGCTCGTACCAATGACCCACTGAGTCAGACCGTGCCCACAATAAAAGCAACAAACCTCTCTTTCTTTTACCTCTAAGAAGAAGAAAAAAGAAAAGGAAAAAAATGGGTGTGGGCAAGGTGTGTGTTTGGTTAGTTATAATCGTGATAGCCGGTGTGGGGTTAACAGAGGCTCAACCAGAGGCACATTTCAAGTGTGCGACGGAGAACGCCACGTGTCGTGCACTCATCGACTACACGAACCCAAACGGCACTACTCTGCGCCGCGTCCAAACCCTCTTCAGCGTGAAGCACCTCCCCGACATCCTCGGCGCAAACAACCTCCCCAGCAACACCAACGGTAGCCACAAGGTGGGGCCCAACGAGGTTGTGAAGGTGCCGTTCCCGTGCAAGTGCAGTGACGGAACCGGTCTGTCGAACCAGGTTCCGGTTTACAAAATCAGACCGGGCGACACACTGTTCGACATAGCGACAACGGTGTTCGCGGGTTTGTTGAAGTACCAGCAGATCCAAACGGCGAATATAAAAAAGATACCTGACGCAAATAACATAACTGCTGGGGATAAGATTTGGATTCCCCTCCCTTGTAGCTGCGATCAGGTAGGTGGCAGCAGTGTGGTGCACTATGCACATGTGGTGGAGTCAGGGAACACCATGGGTGGTATTGCTCAACAATATGGTACCACTGAACAGATTCTCCTCACCATTAATGGGATTACTGATCCCAAATCCCTTCAGGCCGGTCAAATTCTTGATGTTCCCCTTCAAGGTAATTTATTTATATTTATACTTATTACCAATTAAATTGATCACTTCTTGTAATTAAAACTTGACATTTATTAATGAATTATTAATTTTTAATAAATTACAACTGTACGAAAATCATAATTAATATTTATTGATAAATTTAATTGGTGGTAAGTATAATTATTGTTTATGTTAATTTTTGTAAATATAATTATTGTTTGATTTTGTTACTTGTGACTTCAAGCTTGTTCCTCGAATGTGAGAAATGACTCATTGGACTCCCCTTTGCTTGTTGCCAATGGTACTTACGTTTACACTGCTAATGAATGCGTGAAATGCAAGTGCGACTCCAGTAACAAATTTATGTGAGTGCTTGCCGTATTGTTAATGGAATTAATGTTTATGCCGACATCTTTATATTATGCATAGTTGTCAATGTCTATTCTATCTATTCCTTTTCAACACAGATAGATTGTGATCTAACTCTATTAGGAAAGTAAAGTAGACATAAAAGAAATAGATATAATATCCTATCCTTTTTATTAAAATTTATGGTGGTAAAAGGAAAGTAAAATTTTCAAAATATCCTCCATTTTTTTCTAGACCCTAGAATGACTTAGTTTTGAGATTGGTGGAGATAAATTTATATACATTTGGAGTTGAAACACTTTTCCCATTGTTAATTTGTGTTTGGTAGTGGAGTCTTAGTCATTAATTTTATGCAAATTTTTTTTTTTTTTTTTTGTGTGTTTAGATTACAATGTGAGCCATCCCAATTGAAACCGATAAATTGGCGTGTTTGCCCCTCCATGGAATGCTCAACGAATGTCTCCATTGGCAATACTACATCTGTGAATTCCTGCAATAGCACAACATGTGCCTACGCTGGTTATACCTCCCTTAATATCTCTACCATTCTTGCAACTCAGGACACTTGTGCTGGTTAGTGCAATTAATTACTTGAATTGAATCTCTTGAGGGTATTGTCAATGAAATTACTGAGAGTTCTAATAATATGGTTGGTTTGGTTGTTTCTGATTGTTTCGAAACAGTACCACCTGGTGCTTCAGGAGGATCAAATGCTGGTTCAGGAGCATCAAAGAGCACCTTGCCAGGCTTGGTTTGGAGTAATCTTTTCATTCTCATTCACTTCGTCCTCTTTTTTGTCTATCTTTTGTGATCAAATACCCTACACCCATTTTTTTTTTCTTCTTCTATGAATTAGTCAGTCCACTCTGTAATTTTCTATGTTCAGATTGATTGTTTTGTGTTGAGTGTCGCCGCACGTGAACCTTTTCTGTTTTGTCCTTTATAATCTTTGTAACTTTAACATGTTTGGAAGAATAAGAGTAATATCTGAAAATATTATAATGTGTATCTTTTTCACCACTCACTTTTGGTGATTCACCCCCCCCCCCCCCCCCCCCCCCCCCCCCCCCCCCCCCCCCCCCCCCCCCCCCCCCCCCCCTCTCCAAAAAAAAATAAAATAAAATCTTTTGACCGTATTTCGTAACAGAAAAAGTTATAGTAGCAAAAGTTTTATGCAATTTGTTTTTTGTATCAAATTACCATCTTTTGTGAACACAAATTCATAAAACTAAACTAGTGAAAGCTGGGAGACATGGAAAACCCATAAGCCCCAATGGTTTCATCTAGTCATGGTTGTGTCAATGCTCATTGTTTTTCTGTATGCTCTTTGATGACTTCATACAATCATTTTACCGCGAAGCACATTTTTTATCAGCTTCCTTGCAGTCCAAAAAATTCCTGGTTGATTGAATTCTGAGAATGAAAACCTAAAATGTCTACTTATTAATAATATCCATGTATTGACATGGATATTAACACAGGTTTTCCATATTCAATTGCACGCATTGGAGTGGACAGTTACCTAATATAAAGTTGTTATCGTTGCTTGTAGTCAATTTTTCCCATTATTACTACTATCTATTCATTTACCTTAGAAATACAGGATCACTTAGCTTTTAGTGGGCAAGTTGCCTCACCAGTCAGCACAATGTTTGATGGGAGGACCTTTCTTCTTTCCTCCATTATCTTTTCATTCCTCACATTTCCGCAACTTTCCAATTTTGCTGTTCTCTTTTTAGTCTGTCTAATTGAATAATAGTAACTTGATAAAAAAAAATTGACAGCTAATAGAGAAAATGTTATCATTTTTTATCAAGTTATGTTATTCAATTAGAAAAACAAAATAAGAGATAAGAAAACAGCATATTTGAATCATTTACTTATAAACATTGACCGCTGTACCGAACAAAGTTATGTTAAAATATAAAAGTGGGGTTGACTTTTAAACCGCTAAGGCGGCTGCTGATGTGTTGAATTCTTTTAAGAAACTTATCTACTCCTGATAAAATTAAATTAAATTAAATTGATAAATAATGTCTTACATTTTTCCCCTACAAAAAGCATGCTAAATTGTGGTTGTTGAACAAAATCCAACTTTTAGTTTTTTTGGGCATTTGTTACAACCCCTTAAATAAAATTAATTTGCATTTGCTGTGTAAAAACTAGAGGAGGTTTTTAGATAACTTATTAAATAATTAATAAGAGTGGCTTTTTCTTTTGTATAATCTTACAACCCTTGCGAAATATTTTGGAAAAAGGAATAAACCCAAAGTGCTAGATCCAATCGTGTTTTCCCCAAATTTGTGGGGCTTTTTAACCATTGTGTCGTTTTTTTTTATCAAAATAAATATCACTTTGCCCATGTTCCAAAACATTTCAGCAATTTGCCCCTATCTGACTATTGATCGACTCATACTTGAGTATTTGTTGTTTCACGCAATATACTCGAGTATATAGACATGTACTCGAGTAAATGCTCAAAAAAATTTCTACAGGAATTTTTCAATGCGTAGCTCTCAAAAAGTTATGTGGAATAAAAAAAAGCACTTGATTCGGACATCCAAGTCAAAAGTAATGACCTTAAGAGTTTTACTCTAAAATTTTCAAAATTATGTAATGCCAATAGATTTTGTGATACCTACAAAGCTCCATTAAGGTTGCTAGAGTCAAGTCCAATATTATGACTATATGACTATAGAAACTTGTTTGATCCAAAAAAATCTTGTGGAAAAAAATTTAACTGTATAACTTTGGAAGACCATATTTTTTGGATCAAACAAGTTTTTGTAGTATATACTCATAATATTGCACTTGACTCGGATGACCTAAGGAAGAGCTTCAGGGGAATCACAAAAAAAAAAAAAAACATATTTTCGTTACAAAATTTTGAAAATTTTATCGTAAAACTTCATAAGGGATTTGGTACAAAATTTTCTCCAAAAAGGGGCGTTTGGCATATTTTATCTTTCTGGATGATGTTATTTAAATTTTTACTTTCCAACACTAACAAATAATCCTCCGAGAATTTGTCAACGCGTAGCTCTCGAAAAGTTACGTGCAATAAAAAAAAGCACCTAATTCAGACACTTGAGTTAAAAGTTATGGCTTAATTCGGACACCTGATTCCGAAGTTTTACTACTCGGGTAACCTGAGGGGAAGCTTTGTGGATATCACAAAACCTATTGGCATTACAAAATTTTAGAAATTTTAGAGTATAACTTCGAAAAGGTCATAACTTTTGACTCGAGTGTCTGAATCAGGTACTTTTTGTTTTTATTCCACGTAACTTTTCAAGAGCTAAGTGTTCGAAAATTCATGTAGGAAATTCTTTGAACATTTATTCGAGTATAGGACTCAATACTCGAGTATATATAATTCCACGCAATATACTCAAGTATATGGGCATATACTCGAATAAATATTAAAAAAAATCAGAATACTAAATCTACTCTAGTATAAGGTGATGTACTCGAATAAATGGGTCGCTCAACACTCAACCATAGCTAAATTGGTGAAATATTTTAGAACAAAGGCAAGTAGTACTTATTTTCATCAAAAAAAGGCATAATGGTAAAAAAAAACCCTAACTTGTGGGGTCAAAACATCACAAATTGACCCCAAAAAAAACTGTCGCAGATTGACTCTTTTCATTTGATTAAAGAAATATTATTTAAACCAATTGCTCAATGGTCTCTCAAACAAATAATTTTTTTTTTTACTATGAACAACATAATTTAATCAAACAACTATAAATTAAATAAAGGTTGATGAGAAAAGTACTTTTCGTCTCTTTTTTATCTCGCTTGTGAAAGTCATGGTTACTGGTGGTGAGGGCAATAGAATATGTATTGTGGGACAATATGATCAATATAACATATTCAACTAAATTTTCGAAAGCTTAGTGGCGGCTACATATAATGCGGATCCACCTCTACATCATCATGTTTTTCTTTAGAGCCATTATTCAGGGCAGGCTTACTAGAATATTCCTCCTCTTTAAGGGAATTTCAACAAGGTGATCTCATATTCTCTTACATCATCATATTTCACCTATAAATAGGAGTTTCCTTAAAGCTAGTTCATGAGGAATTAAAGACAATCTCATTATTCATTTACTAAAAATAAAAATAAAAGACAATCTCATAATAGAAACTTCCGATATAATGTAAACTTAACGGATATTGATTTCAGCAGCAAAGAGCTACACAAATGAAGGAAAAATATTAGAAAATCTCGGAAAATATTATTTTATTGTTTAATGCATAAATTAATACAATCACTCCAGCTTCTTATTGTTCAACAAAGAAGGAGACCAACCCTTTAGCTTCTTTCTCACTCTCCACTACTACAACATTATCTGACACATTGGTCACAGAAAGTGCTACAAATTTGGGCTCATCTTGAGCATAAAATGAATATTGAAAATGACTAATCCGATTAGGAAATACCAAAACTGATGAAAAATCAGCCCCCCACTTTGTGCCATTTCCGGACACAATCAACTTCCCAACCGTTGATCTCAAGCCCATGCCATTCACATTGTTTCGATCAATCACCACTTGATCAACGTTACTAAATTGCCCATCTAGATTCACAATTGGAACCTTCTTATTGGGGTCACCACTAAACATATTATCCACTATATTTAAGCCCAAAATTTGACCTTTAATAGATTTTAATAAAATATTAGCATCCCCTAGAAATAACCCATTAGTGACATGAACTTGAACAGGGTCTTCCATGACTATACCAGTGTAATCAAGATAACAGTTGTCAATTCTTGTTTGTGAATGTCCTGCCAATTTCACTAAGATGCCTATGCCACCAAAAGATGATGCTTTGTTATAACAATGTACCCCTGTTAGAATGTTAGCTTGACCCCTTAGCACAATACCAATGGCTGCTGAGAAAATTGCAACATCTGTGACTGCATTATCATTACTTGCAAGATCAATGGCAACCCCTGAAAAGTCCTTCTCATCTTTGTCTCCACCAACTGTTGAGTGTTGCCCAAGAAAACAACTTGTTATGAATGTCTCATGTCCTTGCTGGACTAGAATTCCTTCTGTGGTGAAATGCAGGAAAAAGCAATTGTTGATCCGGGTTCTAGCAGAATCTACAATGAAAATCCCTCCTCCTCTATAGCTTGAATCAAATAGGATGTCCCTGAAGGTTATGTCTTCATAGTAAATTCCATTGTTTTGTGCTTTAATGCTGTTGAGGCTATCAGCATGCAGAGATTCAGTTGTCTCAAGTTTCTTGGAATTTGATGACCATAGCTCAACTAGATGCCGATCACCAGGAAAAGTATCTGATGCTCTCAAGGTTCCTCCTTTCACCTAATCAATTATAAATTTTGTGAAGTTCACATGCAAATTAAAGTAGATGCATGGTGTCAAGAATAATAATAGCTTCAAAAGTGCATACTATTTTGGACCAGTCTCACCGCCCAAGTCCATGAGTGGCCTCTAAAGGACTATTTAAGGGGTCTTTGTCTTCCTAAGATGAGACTCCTAGATCCTCATAATAGAGGTACACCTACATATATCGTTTTACTCATTGAAAGGGCATCTTGCATTCATTGAGCTATATTATTCTACTAAACTATAAAGTCATCGTGCCAATATAAATTCTCACTTTCTCATCCATTTTTGAGATATACACATGGTGACTCCCTCAAGAGTTTTGGTTTATATCATTACCTCTAAGAGCACATCCATAACAATATATTTCACCCTATAAGGGATAAAGACCTAAGCTCACCACACTAACTATTCATATATCATAGAAATGCTAAAGACTTAGCTATTTTGGCAAAAATATGCATAACTTCTATTGTTTCATTTGAGTAATTCTATTCTATCTAAGAAAAGAATCATACGAAAAAAAAAGAGAAAATTATGTAAAATCTTTGTAATTCGAAAAATGTTCAGCGAATATTCAGTTACATTATATCGGTTATAGCTCAAAAAATAGAAGTATATTTGTGCAAATGACAATAGCTACTTACTTGTGTAGGTTCTATCTTACCACAAAATTAAAAAAAGTTGACGCTAAGAAGTGATTACATTAAAAAAAGATTAATTACCTAGGAGTGTAGCTTTCTAGGGTCGTTCCCTACTTTTGCACACCAAAAAAAGATTAATTTGAATAATGCCAAAACAAATTTTGATGATTTCTATTAGGTAAGTATAGTTCGAAAAGGATTAACGGCGAGGTTCAATTAACTGCAAAATTAATATTAGATCATCCAAGGTTGGTTACGTTTGTACTTGGTAGCATCAATGAGGCATTAAGGCGTGGCAATGTGTTAACACCACTGCAAAATTCAAATATCATAGGCTTTGAAAATTGGTCAGTGACCGTAATAATATATTAACATGTTCTTATGATGAAAAACATAAAAGAACCGTAGCAGAAAATGGTTAAAAATTAATAACACATTAGATAGGTACGGAAATTCTTCTTAATTTATGTTTGTCATTGTCGGTAGGAAGTAGAAACATCTAATTTGTGGCACCATCTGCACCGATCGAGTTGAGCACAGTAAACTTGAGAATATAAAAATGCATTATTCATAAGATCATATGTTTCTTTTTCTTTTTAATTTTTTTTTAAGAAAAAGAAAACCATATATAATTGAGTCACTAGAATTAGCAGGGATGGGTAATTATAATTTGTGTCATTTCACTCTCACACAGATACAAGACCCATACTTTTTTTTTTGTCCATTCTCTATTCTCATATCTATCTCTTTTTTCACTCAAAATGACACAATTTTACATACTTTAACATAAGATACACTTTCTCATAATTTTATCGAACTAATTGTATAAGAGTTTTATTAATCTCATGCAATAAGATAGAAGCTCTCTCATGCTATAGAGACAATCATGTGTGGGACACACCCACTTATAAAAAAAAAAAATAACACAAAAATTGATATATGTGTAGAAGATAAAAATACTCTCTTATAACATAAGAGTATATTTTCCTATTGTATAATCGTTAAACAAAGATCACGAGAGGGAGGGAAAAGAGATACTAACCACGACATTGCCACCACCAGAGGAAGGGAATGTAATGGGTTTGCTGATTTTGTAGTTTCCACCTTGCAAATCAATGACAACACCTCCAAGGTCATTGACACCTGCTACCAATTCAAGACCATTATGCAACTCAAAAGCATCTTCCACAGCTTTCAAAATGGCATCACTACTATCTTGTGCCCCAGTTGGATCCGCACCATATTCACTCAGGTACAACACCCTCCCACTCTAATAATAATTCACATTGAAACAAAACCCACAGAAAAAAAAATTATAATTGTTTGTTAAGTTCATGGACATCATTTTGCGAAAAAATTCGACGAAAAATAATTGCGAAGATAAAATTATCGAGGGAATTTTCATAACAATTTCTTCACTGTACAAGTTTTTTCTAGTAGTGAAACAAGTTCCAGAAATCACAAGAAAAATAATAATGCAATAATGTAGCTTACCATTTTTGTTTCAGGTGATGCCGAGGGTGCTAGGGAACTAGCCATTTTTTGCTCAATTTTGTGTTTGAACTCTGAGAGCCTTTTCTCCCTGTTGAAAGTGAAACATGTGGCTTCTTCTATTACCACCAATAATAAGACAAACCACACCGCTGAGAATCTCATGCTTCACATAAAATTTTCTAACTTATTTTTGGTTCTCATTGGCAGAACAGAGATGAGTTTCCTTATGAAGGAGAAACTATTTGCCTATCTGGTTGGCAAAACTTTTTTTTCTTTTTCTTTTAAAAAAAAAATAGAAAAAAAAAGTGGGGAACCTGAAAAGAGCCCATGTGGTAGACTTTTAACGTCAATGAATTGGTGGCATCAGTCCTAAACAGGTTTCTGTAAGTTTCAAAGAAGACACGTACGCCGAAAGCAATTATGGACATTTATAGTACACCCTAGGTGTTCATCTTTTTCACTTAAGTTTTTTTTTTTTTTTTCACCCTTCCTAATTTTTAGCTTATTTATTATTCCAGTTTGTAAAAACTGTAATTGACACCGTTATCTTATAAGTGAAAAATTTACACTAATTTATAACTTTAGTTCCATTTGATTTAATAATTAATATCGTTTACTTTAATGAAAGAGAGAGAAAACTTGATAACTTATTAAAAAAAGAAAATATGAACTATTTTAATGAAGATTTTTTTAAAATTTATTCATTGAATTTTAAATTTTAAAAATAAAAATAAAAAATAAATTCCTAAGATATAATCCCATAATTTTTTTTAAATATTTAAATAATGAACTAAAAAGCTTTAACTATCAATACCTAAATTGTTTATACTATGATTCCTATTCCTGGATAAAGTAAAATATCTCAGTATAACAAAGATCCTTGATAGATTAATATAGACTAAAGTTTAATGGAGAGTCAACGTGAATACAGTCTCAGATGAAAGTTGAGAGAAAAGAGAGAAATGTGAGGATAAGTGTGCTTTCAATAGCGTAACAACTCTATGGATATTGTGTAGAAGATGAATGATGTATAATATATAGGTGAGGAAGATTTCACAATGATGAATAATAAAATGAGTCATAGTCATCTTATCCCAGTACGCCCTATTGTGTGAGACAAGTACACTCATATAATATATAAGGTGTGAGTTGTGTTGGGTAAGATGGTAAAATCTTTTTTTTTTTTTTTTGGTAACAAGAGGGTAAAATCTTTTACAATAAAAGTGTAAAAATCTCAATTTATATATATGTAGAAATGTGACCCCCTTAGTAACCAGCCATTTGGACTTGCCAATGTAACCTGTTCAGAACATTACCAATTGAAAACGAATATTGAAAATAATAAGAGCTATGGTTGTGGATTTTTTTTTGTTTCAAACTATGCTCTAAATCTTACACGCTCAACAATAACTTTATTCACCTAGTAATGTTTTCAATTTTTTTTTTTATAGTTGTAATGTTTTCAATTTAATTTGGAGGCATTCGAGACATCTTCTTGAGGAATGCTGGTAACTAAAAGTTCGTTTGTATTTTTTGGTTTTGTCCATGTTCTTTTTCTTTTTTTCTTATATAATTATTCATGAGCTTTTTGGCACCACACGTGCAAATAATTATTTAATGTATATGTATCATGCTGATACTAAAATTTATGTTTAAAACTTCGTTCAAATTATGCAAGTCTCTTTTCACTAATTTATCTTTACTCTTTCAGGGTTTTTACTTTCATTTTTGGAACAAAATTAAATCAAATTTATACAATTATATATGTCATTTTTATAACTTATATATTCACTAGCTATATCTTAATTTATTGATTTAATATTGAGAATCTCAAATTTATTGATTATATGATTTGATAATGTTCTTATAAGGACTTTTAGACAACTTAATGTTAAACAAGTTATTAAAATTAAAAAATTAAGAAAAAGTTAGATCTTGATTCATAGGGAAAATAAAACCTTAAACTAAAAATAATTGAACCAAACAAAATTATTGGTTTAATTTGGTTCGATTGAATTTTTACTTAAAATTAAACTAATCCAAGTTTATCCAATTAAACAAATCCAAATACCTTTAATTAGTGGTGTAAATGAGTTGAATTTGGCCAAATTTTGGATTAAATAGGTCTGTCGTGGTCTATTAGTCATATGTATGTCTAAATTATAAGTTTAACCTGACTTATAATTAAAAAGCAAAAGGTTTGGTTTAGACTTATTAGTTTATTTAAGCATATTAGATGTTCAATAATTAAAAATTATTTTATTATTTTAATATTCAAAATTATTAAAATTATTAATAACTTTGTTTAAAATAAATAATATGATATAAACCAACTTATAAATTTGGCCCGATCTTATAAAAGAAAGCTTATGATCTCTTTTTAAAAAAGTTTTTTAAAGACTTAAAAAAGAAGAAGAAAATATAACATTGGAAGCATAAAGCTAAAAAGAATATCAATAACATTGGAAGCAGAAAGCTAAAAAGAATATCAAAGGGAATTGAAAGGGGTTGTAATAAAAGCTATAAAATTGACAGATGCAAAGGAGATTATCTTGCTTGTTCGAACAGATTCGATTAGCTTTATTTATTAAAGTAATTATTCCTCTTTCTCTTTTTTTAAAGTGCTATTCTCTATAAAGTAATTGTTTTCTTAAACACAGATATAAATGTTATTAATTTGGTTAAATAAGTATATTAATGCAGTCTTTTAATGCCAAAAATAATATTAAAGAAACAGTTTAATATTAGTATTAACATTGAAGGATATTTTAATACATTTATTATTAAAAAATTAAACTGAAGAAATTCAAAATTTTGAAAAATTAAAATAAGAATTTACTAAAAAATTAAAGAAATAATATTTCACAATTATACATAATTATCTATAACTGTTAAATTCTATGTGCATTTACGAATAAACGTTTTACTTTTACACAAATGTAGAAATAATTTAATATAAGTGCAAAACGGATGCGATTGCGAAGCCTTTTATGTATATATAGATTTGTATTTTTTTATTAAATGATGGTAACTCATTTAACGTTAGGAACTGAGCAGGTAGGGATGTGATGTGAGCATGTGTTCGATCATCTTCAGTACTGTCTTTGGAAAGAATTTAAAATCTTAATATCGAGATCCACCCTGAATTAGACTAATAGGAAACGATGAAACAATTGGAATATTTAAAAAAAAAATTGTATTTTTGGGATACAGTATATACAAATTTGTATGAATGTAAATTATTTTTTTTTTAACTTCTTTTTAGATTATTATGAAATTTAAGCTAGAAGGAACAGGCGATGGTTATAGGTGGTTAGATATGGTAATTAAAATGCTTACAAAAAAAGAAAAGAAAGATATGGTAGTTAAAATGAGATTTTACATTTATACCAAAAAAAGAAGGAGATTTTACATAAAAATAGAAGAGGAATAAAAAATCGTAAAATGTAAAATTGTAATGTTTAAAAAAAATCATAAAAATGTAAAAACACAGTATTTAATCGAGATTTTAACTATCATTATCATAGAATAATGAGTAATATCTGGTCAGTTTGATGCAAAGTAAGTATGAGATTTGAATCAATGGTCAAATCCACTTTTTCTTTTAATTTAGGGGACAATTGGTATTAGAGAAATATTTTTTTACTCCGGAGTTATGATTACTGGGAATATGGTGGAAAAAAAGTTTTCTGGGAATGTTATCAAAAAACTGTTTGGTAGGCCAAAATATTACCAGAAATATTGATTGATTTTCTTGAATATATGTTTGGTTGATGATAAAATATTACTGGAAATATAATAAAAATTTACGAAACTATCCTCGTAATATTTGACTTTTGAAACGATTTAAAAAATAATAGAAGACCAGTGCGCAAAGAAGGACTCTTTTACAAAATATAGTTTTTTGTATGAACACAATCTAGGGTTATGTGGAGTTGAGTTTTTATCCTGGAAAACTTGCAATGCTTCAGATCATGTCAATTTCAGCAAACCTGAACCTTATGGAGCACTAACAAGAGATATCTCAGAAACTGCAAACGTTAAGTTACCTTGCAATGGAACTCAGTGCAAGCCACATGAGTTATTGTTGGCATATTTGTGTCTGTAATTGCAATATCAGTAATAGGTGTTTGACCTTCACACTATATCGTCGGAGAAAAAAAAAGCTTGGAAATTTTTTCATATCTCTGATAGTTGTCCAAGTACTGATGAAGCCAAGGCTGACGATGGTATTTTAGTCCGACAAAAGTGTGACTGTTTTCCCAGGGCATGAGAAAAAAATAATACCATATCTTGGATGGTATTCTAACTTCGGAATCGGCAATGTAAAATAAATCCCTGGAAACAAAATTTTTCCAGCCAAATTTTAACTCTTCCTCATACCAAACATTGTAAAATAATTTACCCTATCCCTCTTTCCCACGAACCAAAAAAAAGCCAATGTATCAAATGTTGGGTAGTATAGATCAGATGTTTAGAATCATTCTCTCGGAACGGTTGATTTAATTTCTCTTTATTCTCTATTTTTATTTCTTGAACTTGTACACTATTAATTTTCAAACTAAAAATTATAAACTTTGTAATATTCAGAACTAATTAACAATAGTGATAAAAGGATTAATACAAATTTGAAGTATCTAGGATTCTTGAATCATGGATGTTCCAGAAATTATGCATTACTGTATTTTAGCTGGAACTTCCCTGATCCAGATTTATCCCTCAAAAGGGTCCTTTTCCAAGGTCTTCTAAATCTTCAAAAAGGAATTAATATGGGTTAGGTGTGCGTCTGATACACGCGAGCCCTTTTTTCCTCTTTGCTAGGGCATATCGTGTTTTCGTTTGTCTTCGATTCTCTTCTTCTTTCTCATGGAAGATCTGAAAGGTAATAATGATGATGACTCTTCTGGGTCCAGAAAAAGTGTAAAGCGGACCAAAGACGGCGAGGAGTACTCTTCAGTTGGTGCTAACCGTGGAGCGAACCTAGGCTTCCCAAAAGAGGATCGGCCAAATGGGAAACCAAAAACTTGGGTTCAAGTTATTGGAGCTGAAAATGGGGGTTCAGGGGAGGAGATAAATGTACCCCTAGATCCGATGGAGGGTGCAGTCACAGATTGGGGGTTCCAAATGGTTGTCGAGGAAGATGGCTGCTTCACCATCAAATC